GTCTTCATAAGTGCGACAAAGCTTTTCTGCATTGGCCTAATGGGAATCAGAAGAAAAGACAAAGAAAGTTGCAGCCTCCAGGCAAACATTTGGAAGCTGTAGCCTTCAAAATGTATCCTGTTTTTCTGTGTGTTTGTCTTTCAGAGGAATGGGAGTCAGAAAAGACACAAATATAGTAGTGGAGCGGGAAGAGCAGCCCCATGTCTGTGATCCCAAGGACTCCCCATCAGACCACCTTCCACATTTGTTTTCCCTGAATTGTGTTCTGAATGTAAGCACCAGTGTAAAAAGACTCTGCAACAACTTCAGCAGCAGTCACATGCCCATGAAGTTCAGGCATAACTGCCTCATAATTGCTAGATGGGAAAATCACCTCCAATGAAAATTGCTCTACTGATTCTGCTTTAATTGCCATTTATCATAAATTGGGTTTGATGACAGCTTTCTAACTCTGAGAATACTGACATTTCTTTTTCCTCACTTGCACTGAAAGAAATCTATTTCGAGTACTCTGAAAGCTACTGAGATTATCTACTTAGGAAACAAAATCCACAATTCAGCTGTAGGAAGTGAAAATACATGGTGTGATCCTCCAAGCCTTTGCTTAGCACTCCATGCTAACATGGATGAAAATTGTGAACCAACGGCAGGATCTGAGAGGACTCTGATTAGGGTGAGAGATATCCTGGCTTGGATGGCATCACTCCAGTTGTCACCAGCCTGGACGAGCCGAATTTACTTGACATGTTTTTGTGCCCTGAGATACATGGATAAACAGTATGCCTGGGACTGAGGATGCGCTGTGTGTTTCAGACAGGACATCTTAATCGCTGTCCCATTTCTAGGGAAGAAGGGTTCAACAGCCAGGGAAAAGAGCTGTCTGAGTTTTCTCAGGCTGCTCAAAGGAAAACAGAGAGCGAAAGAATTGATAACAACGTCTAACATTTGGCTTTGTGACAGGAGGGATATGTGAGAAACATGGTGTTTTGGTGAACACTTGTTTACAGGGGGTGTTGTCTTCCTCGGACCAATGAGTGTGATTTTATCCTTGGTTCTACAATCTAGTGTTTATAAGGGAATGCAGTGTTACAATAAAGTCGTCCTTTTCCTATCTTGAAAGGAGACCACGTCGCTGTGTTTCACTCTCGCCATCCCATAGCTAATCGTGTAGCTAACAGTGACATTACCACCAGCTGGGTAAGGCAGACATGGTGCAGGACACCACTTTCTAAAACACCTCAGCCATACCAGGTGTCCTGGGAAACCTTCAGACCAGCCTTATTGACCATGACTTTTGGGGGCTTTGGGGAGCCTCAGGACCCTTACTTTCCCCTTGACCATCTGCTCCATGTTGGATGTCAGATCATCCACTTCCATCTTGAGCTCGCTCTTCTCCTTCTCCAGCTTCTGCTTGACCCTCTGCAGGTTGTCCAGCTGCTCGCCCATCTCGGCCACGCTGTCGGCGTGCTTCTTCCTCAGCGTGGCAGCCGTGGCCTCATAGTGCAGCGTGGCCTCCTCCAGGTCCCGCCGCAGCTTCAGGAACTCGGCCTCGCGCTTCTTGTTCATCTCCAGCTGGGCTGCCGTGGCTCCCCCCGCCTCCTCCAGCCGCTCGCTCAGCTCCTCCAGCTCCCGGGCCAGGTCCGACCTCTGCTTTTCCACCTTGGCTCGAGCAGCTCTTTCTGCTTCCAACTCCTCTTCCAGCTCTTCTATACGAGCCTGACAGAGAAACAAGAGCACTTGTCGGTGAGTTTTACGATGACTGCCATCAGAAGGCCATGAGGCACCTTACAAACTGTTAAACCCCTGCCAGCCCACATTTTACCTCGCTGGCAGAAGCTCAGCAGTTAAAGGACTTGCCCATTTGTAAATCCGATCCTAAGCTGCACTAATGATGATGAGTCACATCTAGCTTGCAGTAGATTGCTGTGCATGTTCTAGTTCAAGACATATAGTGCATTGAACTTATGCCCACATGTTTAACATTCAGCTGAAGTACATGTGAGGAGTTACATGCCAGTAGGAGTAGCAGCAACAAATTCTCATTTTGAGACCTCCATGACTGAAGTAATTTCTCCCCTAAGAGAGGTAGGGTTTCAATATAGCAGTGTGTAGAACTGCCTGGATAATGAATATTTATTGCAGTCTTTATTATTAAAAGATTATTTTCACCAATCTGCACTTTACATCCGAGTTATACAAATATTCTTTATTAACAAAAAAAGAGTTTGAGCTGTTATTTTTAGGTCCAGACATTGTGTTTGGACTGTGCTGAATTTCTTTGGCTTTTTAATTTCTGTTGAAAATTTCCTGTGTGTTTTACCCTTTTCTCTAAATTTCAAATCCATACTTATCACTGCTGAACTGCTCTCCAGCAACTACCCTCACCTCTATGGTTTGGAACAATATTATTTGCTTAAAACAAAACACCAGAGCCTTTCTGCCTTGCCTGAAACCACTACCATTCTGTGGTTATCTGTCCTGCTACTGGGAGGTGACCATCCTGAGGGAAAAAAGAAATTTGACTGGGAAGCTATGGAGATGTACCACTTTGTGTCTCAAAGAGGAGCTTCAGCTAGCCATGAAAAGTTTCTGCAAGGTCTTTCACTGAGGCACAAAGAAAAACTTGTCCTAAGATGTATGATAACAAAGCAAGCTGACCTGAAGTTCCTTGATCTTCTTCTGCAGCTGCATCACTATAGCTTGTTCATCTTCTATCTTGGAATTCAGCTGGCTCATTTCAAATTCTTTCCTGGCACAAAAAGTAAAGTCCTGCTGTGACAATTTGCCTTGAAGCTTCAAGTTAGGATTTTGAAATTTTTAAAGAGTTGTTCAATAAAACTTCTAGCATATCTAAAAATGAGAACAATTGTCATGTATTGCAATTTGCATGAAAACACATTTTCCTCTGAGCAGCAGTTTCCATGTTAAGCCTCTGCATGCATTTGTGCAATTATATTTCTGGTTCTTTGTATCGTACAAAAACAACGCTATTTTAAGATTCAATGGAAAAACATATTTAACAGAGTCAGGTCTCCTAACAGCACTATCACAGCTAGTTAGGATGAACAGCTTTAGAGAATTTCTTCAACTTTCTCCTCTAAGCAATGAAAAACATCAGTAAGTTTCTGTGTTGCTTATTTTTAATGTAAAAAAGTTTAATTAATGAATTCTAGTGTTTCAGGTATTATATGCAAGAGTAATTTTGCCTCCCTCCTTGGCTACACGTTTTCATAATGCAATTTTCTTACAGCCAACATCAGAGCAGGATGACACACCTGAAGGCTCTTAAATGACACTGTAACTGTGCTGCTTTATTTGGTACAACAGAATCAACTTCTTACTTTTTCAGCTTTTCTTCCATCTGCAGCTTATCATTCTCCAAGTCCATGACACTCTCTTGGGTCAGCTTCAAATCCCCTTCCAGTTTGCGTTTTGCCCTTTCTAGATCCATCCTCACCTTCTTCTCTTGTTCAAGTGATCCCTCGAGCTTTAGGAGCAAAAATAGAAATATATTATAAACTTTATAAACTTAATAAATATATTGCATACAGATGGTTTACAACAGTCAGATGTAGGCTGTGCCCAGTTCTGTGCTGAGAGAGTTGTGAAGCAGAAGCACTTAAGCACAAGCATCCCGGTTTACAGGGTTTGTTTTCTAGCAGCCAGTGGGCATAAGGGCTAAAGAAATGGAACAAAAGGGTTAGCCCAATGCTTTACATTCGTGCAAGCATTACAATTCTCTTAGCAGCAAAGTTCTGTTTGACCTCATGCCAGTTACACTGCAAGTGCAAGTTGGGAGGATTTTCCCTTGTTACTGCAATCCTTTGAAAGGCTGAGCACAGATCAATTTTTGTGGTGTTCCTGTAATTATACATTTTACAGACAGTACAAGGAGTACATTTCTAAAAGGTGAGTAATGTATTTCAAAGTTTTGCGACCTTTCAGTCTCATGAAAAGTCCTCTGTAAGTGGTGGTCAAACGAGCCTTGTGAAACATAAAGACCCAGCTTACATCATCCACTTGCTGTTCCAGTTTCACTTTAGCTTTGCTCAGTGTGTTGACCTTGTCCTCTTCTGCTTGTAGGTCATCTAGAACTTGCTGATGAGATTCCTGCAAGGACTTTTTCTCCTTGGTAAGTTTGCTGATATTCTCATCAAGTGTTGCCATTTCTTCAGTCAGATTTTTGACCTGTGTGAGAAAGGAAGATGTGTTTGTAAGACTTTGAAGAAGGGAGTATCATAACATGTCTCAAATGAGTGTCTGGTCTGAACTTGCTAGCAGGAAAACAAGAGAAATAAGGGATTTCTCCCATCCCAGCACCTCATGGGTTTTTTAATTAAATTACCATCAAGGGAGTTCATGTCTGCCAGTTTTTCGTGTGGGGGTAGTACATTATTTCAAACATACTAAATTATTTTCAGAGTCACTCCCATTGTGATGGACTCCAGCTTCTGATTCTTTGTGGGAGGAGTAGGAGATGAGCTTTTTGCATTTATAGGCTTTAAGGAGGAGAGATTCAGGAATTCATGGTTACAGCAGATTGTTTACTTAAAAATGACCCCCCCCCAAAAAAAAGAGGAAACTTAGGCTCAGAGGTAACAATTTTTTACCTCATAAGGTCAAATTACTGTATCTACTGACCCTTCGGTGTGGCCTGTGTAATAAACAGTGTAAACATGCCCAGCCTCTTGTGAATACATGGTGAAGTTCTGAATGTACCTTGTTTTCAGTAGCATGTTTCTCTTTCTCTACTTTTGCAAGTGTTATTTCAAGATCATCAATATCCTTCTTGAGCTCAGAGCACTCATCTTCCAATTTTCTCTTCTTCGAAGTCAGCTCAGAATTCATCTCCTCCTCATCCTCAACTCTCTCTGTCAATTCTTTGACTTTGGCTTCCAGCTGAATCTTGGATTTAATCAACAAGTCACAGCGTTCCTCGGCGTCTGCCAGAGTGTCTTGCTCCTGGTGTGGCAAAGGAAGAGAACAGCAATGACTGCCTGGCCTTTTTTCTCCCTCAATTGTTCCCTAGCCTGTAACTGGTCAAGGAGCCTGATACAGAGCAACAAAGCAGAGTAAGGAAAATTTCCTACTCTTGATTTCAGAAGACAAATAATTAACAGAGCAGTATGAGATAGTGGTGAGCATGACTAGTCACATACAAGACTACTTGCATGTGTTACTGGCGTGGACATTGCCTTGAACAGATTTACATTGTTAGCCCACCTGGTTATAGGCTAAAACATGAGAATTTCTATCCACTCTGAGTTTTGGCAAGGCTCTGACAAGATCAACAGCTTATTTTTATTAAATTCCACAAACACTCTAGTCTGTAAACCTTTGAGTTTCAAAGAATGTCTAATAAGTGTATAATCTATGTGTCTACTCACAGCTTGGAGCTGGAGAAGCAAATCATTTTTTTCCTGAACCAAAGACACTTGCTTTTCCTCAAGTTCCTTTCTCCGGGCTTCAGATTTTTCCAGGGCCTCCTTCAGTTTCAAGAATTCTTCCTTCATATTGGCCATCTCCTTTTCAGTTTCTGCAGTCTTCAGGAGAGGCTTGATCTTAAAGAAGAGCTTCATCCAAGGCCAGTTCTTGACAGCCATAAAAGCACGGATGTTCCACTGAATTACTAGAAGGGCGTCCCTGGTATAAGAGAAAATGAACAAAATTCCTTAATCTTAGCCTGAATTTTAAAAGTGAGAGGGTTTTTTTTTTCATTCTTAGTCAGTTTAATAGGTTTTTTCTACGCAATATTAGGAACCTGTACTAATTTCCAAAAGATACAGGAAACTTCCCCCAGATCTCTTTATTTTTGGAGGCGCAAAAAATTTCCAAATCTCATTTTCACTAAAGCTGCAGGCAACTAATATACAATTGCTATTATTTTTATCACACATACACTTAAAGCTTTTAATTTAGGGTTATCTATAGCCTTAGGGACTGTAATTAATGGCTCTATTCAACTCATGATTAAATGGTAATTACTATTATCTGCTGAGATTTAAGGGGGTGCCTTTGTACCTGCGCTCCACTATCTTCTGGAATTCAATCCGCATCAATCTGCCGCGCGCTCTTGCCTGGATCATCGTTAAGATTTTCGCCAGTCTCTCATCCCTCATTTCTTCCAGATGGCCCAAGAGACCAGCCTTGAAGAACACCTGGTACATGCACAGATGTCAGTTCACCACAAAGAAGGATTTATACCAGAGCTACAATGACCTTGCTGAAATGGCTCACACTGGTATTCTCACTGACACATTATAAACTAGGAAAGTATAAAGGGCCAAACACTACTTTGCAGAAGGGACTTCACTGTACAATTCCAGAGTTGTTTGAAAACACGGTTTTATCTCCCCAGTTTTGAACAGGGCAAACTATTTTATCACCACAATACCTTTCAGCTGTGGCAGGGTTCCAAGTAGGTCAGCTGAACCACAATTCCTGACTCCCAGAAATCCCTGCTAATGGGATCATGTGAGAATTCCACATGGCCTCATTTCAAAAGATGCAGCTGATTCTGTGGTCCATCTATGTTTGAATGTACCTATATTATACTAAATAAGCTATTATTTTACTGGGGGGCATGGAGCATCAGCTGCTGCTGTGTCTGCTTGTAGAGTTGCTCTAATAAAAGCTTTGTGGGAACCTGAGCCAGAGTTAAATTTCGTCTAGCATAGCTTAGAACCTACTATCACTTTGCTGCTATTTTGCTGCTATTTTGCTGGTTTCTTGTATTATTAAATCTCGATCAAACACCACCACCAGAAATCGCAGTGTCCTGTTCTGCAAGTTAAATACCAGATATATCACTTTTCTCTTTACATAAGCAATGATAGTCTTTTCTGGTTACCTTGGTGTGTCCAAAACGATATTGGTTATGGTCAACATCTAAAGATGCCATCAGTTTTTCAGCAGCTTTTCTGCTATCCACAAACTTATCCTCTGGAATTGCTCCTGGATTCAGGATGCGGTACCTGTTAATAACAAATCAAAAATGCAACAAATCGGCTTAGATTCTGCTTTAGTTTTTTTTTCCCTCTTCCCCCAAAGACTTAAAAGAAACCCACCCAAACCAAAACACCGAGGGAAATCACCTGTTTTTGATCTACACAGATACAGGAAAGAGCAGAATTCTGCTTTCCATGTCAGGCAAACTGAATGGAAGATAAGCTTGAATGGAACAGGAGACAATCACATCTCTGCATTACCTTTGTTTGAAGTCAGCATAAAGCACCCTGTTCGGGAATCCCTTCCGGCAAATGCGGATGCCTTCCAGGACACCATTACAGCGGAGCTGATGCAAGACCAGGAATGCATCCATTTCGCCTGCAGGGGGAAAACAAGGCTAAATTAAAAGGAGTTTCTCCGCAGGGCTTCATCTTCATTTCCCCAAGGAAACTGGAAAATGTGAGATGACATCTCCTGAGAGAGCAACATGACTGGATAAGGTAAAAAGCAGAGACAGTATTTAAATACAATCTGGTGACTCAGAAGTAAGTAATAGAATGACAGAGTTAAATATTCTAAAATTTTAAGACTATTGTCTTTTTCATACCTGGAGTTTTTGATTCATTTGGGATAATGCATCGTACAAAGTGAGGAGCTGTAGATTTTAGGTTAGTCATCAGCTTATTTAAATTTTCCTAGAACAGACACATTAAAAATATTATTAGCTTTAGCGGTTCAGTGGAATTAAAATCACTATTTCTCTGGTTTGCTGGTTGTTAATTTAAGAAGCTCATTTTTCTAAAAAATTCTCCAGCAAAATTATAAGCTTACCAAAATGATTAGAGAGAAATGTGTTCAAATAAACTAAAGAAGAATTTAACATTGTTATAAGATTCTACATTAGTTTTAGCAAAGAAGATATGTGTTTTACTTATAACCCCAGAAACTCAAACCCCCAGATGAACAGCAAGCAAGATTCAGCATCATCTGGTGGAGCATTTCTGTAAAGCCAACTGCATCTTTGCCTAGTCACTTCCCCACTCAGTGAGGAGAGCTCACCTTTCACACCTGTTCCTCATAAAGGCTGGGTTTTTATCTCCTGGCCAAATATTTTCCCTTTATTGGTCTTAATCAGACATGTCCCAGGCAGACAGCAAGCAAGCTCAGAAGAAGCCAACCATTCAGTGATCATCAGGCTCTGGGGAAGGTGTTTTGTCCAGTAAGTAGAAGATGGAGACCATGGGAGGTGGATGCAATGCCATCAGCACAACTGTGCAAACTGCAGATTTCTCATACACTAGTCAGGACAACAAGCAGCCTGAGCTGGGTACTAACAGCTGCCTGTGTGCTGGAAAGTGAGCTTCTATCTGTGGCTTATTAATTATTTTCTGAGTGCTCCTTCAGCCACTTTTATACCTCTTCAGCTGGTAAGATACAGGTCTCCATTTTCTGTGATTTCCCTTCACAAGGAGATGAGAAAATGAACATGGCTAGTGGGTATCCACATCCTTCCCAACCTGAGGCTTATCTACATTACAGCTTCCTCAATGTCACCCATAGAAATGGGAATAATGGTAAAAAAAATGGTAAATAGCCCCATTTTTCCTCAGGCACGATCCCAGTGACAGCTTCCACCAGGAGCACATGCCAGTCCAGAAGAAGGGAATAACTGAGGAAACAGGAGGCTTTATGCCACTTCATTCAACAACTTTTGTTTTCCATGACTGCTCTAACCTTAGGATCCAAAGCAGTAATCAGATAGGGACTAGCAAATAATTTGTAATAATTTCCTGTTCCAAAGACAAGCACGAAGCTGTAAGCAGCAAAATAAGCGATATAAGTTGTTGGCACCATTTTGTGATACTTTCTTCAACATAGTAAAAAAGAACAATTTCATGACTGCTCCGAGATGATGAAATGGAGCAGCCCCTGGCATGCAGTTTTAATAGCAGTGTATTTCCTTAGCCAAGGTCAATAACCCTGTCCACAAGTCAAATTTCAACGTTGGATTTCAATTTTTTCCTGTCCATTGCAATCCTTAACATTCTTCTTCAACACATTGTCTTAACTCAAACTGCCAGGTGTGGAGAGGTAACAAACCTTGTGCAATGAGGACACTGTTTGGAAAGAAGCACCTTTCTTGCGTTTCTTTTCTCCACCCTGGTCACCTAAGGAGGGAAAAAGAAGCATAAACCAGTCTGTATCTCAGTAAGGGGTGCAGGCAGAGTGTGGAAAACAGACCATTTTAATAGTGCTGCTCTATTTGACTAAAAGGCTCTGATTGCTCAAATCTTGTAGAAGACATTCTGAAAATCATGTGTGATACATCACACATTTGCAGCTCTCTGTCCATAGTTAGGAGTTTTGTCAAAGACCACTGTAAACTTTCTGGATTGCATTTGCATTTCAGATCTATACTGCATCGCTTCTTATGCAGAAAAGCCCATAAATATGAATATGGCAGAAAAATAACTTTTAACAAAAGTAATTTGTAGTTTGTTAAAAGCTCCATAGAGTTAGATGATGTAGAAAAAGAAAAACTTTATGAAAAATAATGCTTACAGAAAATTTGTACTGCACATTGTACTGTACAGAAACTGATTCTCTCCTATGCAGACATTGAACTTGTGCAAGTAAGATTTGTCTAGAATAGAGGGAAATAAGTATTTGTAATTTTAGATATAGTAACTTTGCATCCTCTGAATTTTGCTTAAAGCTTTGGAGTCAAAATCACTCAGATTCTCCCAAGGAATGCTAGTTTCTGACAAGACCTTTACAAAGTTTCACAGGTTCCTGACATGACCCCAAAATGTACAGCAGTTGCTGCAGCTTTCTAAGCAGTGGGCCATTAGATCATTCCCAGGAGATCTGTCATCATGTCACCTGTCAACATAAAAGGAGAAGTGAAGAGTGCAATGTGCTTGATGCAATTATCCACAGCCTTTCCCCCTTCAGAAGGTGATACTGCTGAGACTGGAAAAGACTAATCTGGACAGGCTGTTCCTTTCTCACCAAAGAAAAGCAAGGTTGCATTCAGATAGACAGGAATATCCACAGGCAAATAGGCAGTGAATAACTTCCAAGGATTTGCTCGTGGCAGGATGTTTGTTATTTACATTCAGCTTCATCTCATTCCCATTAGGAAGTCTTCAGCCTGCTTGCTTCCTAAGAAAGTGTCACGTGATTCATGACAAGAGCATCTCTTGAAATAAGGTTTCTAATAAACAGGCTGTAAGTGATTGCAACTTCAGGACGTAAGAGCTACATCTTTGTAAGGAATACCAGTTATGTACTTAGGATCAATTTTCTGAGTGTTTGCTACGTGTCTTCTCACAAAAAAATGAGTTCTGTGTACAGGATAGAGATTAAATATATCCTCAGATATATAGTATTATATTGTCAAATTTAAAAAAAGAGCAGCAAGCAAAAAGGAAGATATATTGGCAAAGCCTTCTACTGTGGCCAATGTGGAATGGTGTTCCAGTACCTTCAGGATGTACTTGCCACTAATCCAATAAAACATTCCAAAATTCTCTCATAAACTTGGTATTTCTTATTTATTTCAGGGGGGTTAGCAAGGAGTACCACAGCACAAGAAACAGGAGCTGTTCTTTTTTGGCATTTATGTACACAATCTTTTGTGCAACACTTGGCTGCATATCTGAACACTTGCCTGCTCAGACTCCCACTGGGTTGCTCACAACACAGCTTTCCTTGCCACAGTTGCTCAGAGGCACTATACATCCAGCCTAGCTGAGTTAATGGTCTCCTTCCCATAACTGGCAGACTACAGCTGCTGTGCACATCTAAATAATTAGTTACCGCCTCATGTAGCATTGAGGCAATTGCAGTGGGGAGATTTGCTTAGTTTCTGAAATTCATGCCCAAGCACACATCCCAAAACCCAAGGAAAGCCCATGTGAGCTGGTTCTGCTTACCACTGTCAGCACCAACATAGCTTTCAAACAAGCTTGCCAGGAGTTTGTTGGATGATTTCTGGAAAATCCCTACTACAGTTTCATTAAGCGGGTCCTTGTTCTTCTCAAGCCACCCAATGATGTTGTAGGGAACCTACAGCAAGGCATGAAAAACAAAGCAGAGGTTGCAAATGTTCCCCTTCAGAGCAGCCAGCAGTTCTTTGCAGTTCGGCGTTAAGCCAATGACTTTTTGCGAAGAGCTGAGCTCAGAGCAGTACCAGCTGCCCTAGTTTTCATCACTTCCCCTCCAGTTCTCTGCTTCCTAATTCCCAAACCTCTCTTCCCAATAATTAGCATGTGAATCCCACACATCCCTTCCAAACTATCTGGTCCCTACATCTTCTCATGGACTCCATGCTGTTATCTTGGAGATACCATGTGGCACTGGTGTCCTAGGAATCCTATTAAAAAGTGCCGAAGTATAAATCACACAAGTAATAATTTAACATCAAAATAGCATGCTACACTGGAATAATTAGGGTTTTCTAATAGAATTTTAATGATTACAAACTAACTCCAGGACTTTGCCACAGCTCTGTTTAGTGGGAAAATATGTTCCATTATCAGTACCACAAAGGAATAGAAATTCTAATTTTCTTTGCTGAATGCATTAACAACTACAGATAAATACCAAGATCAGCATTATTTCTTTTAATAATTACAAAATTAGCTTAATGCTCAATTACAATTTAAAATTAACAGCATCAGGTAAATTCCTGCTTTGCTATGCTGAGGCTTCTTATCAATTGTAGTTTGATTAAAAATTTCTATGACCCTCTCAAATTCTTTCTGCCTATCTAGTCTGAAAACAGAAGTCTGAAAACATGAGTTTTGGCTCAGGTATCACAGTACTGGATTATGTTCTCACTCACCTCATCACCAGTGAACCCGTAAACTGAACCACCACATCATAGCTAACCACACTTCCTTTTGCTATTGACACACTAAAATGTGTAAACAGTGATTCATTTTTTTTAACCATCCCATGAGTTAAAGCAGAAATTAGTTCATTTTTCCAGGAAACCAAGGTGAAAAGTTAGATGCTGCTGCTGTTTAATTACTAGTCTTATGCAGATTGGAGGAAAAGTGATAAATGCAAAGCAAGGCATACTTCCAGCAAAAGTACTATTAGCCCTCCTCACTTTATTTCATTCAATTTGTGCATCTAAGGAGCAGATGTCCTGGAGCCTGGTGGCATCTTACTCTGCTGCAACACTTGTGCAGAGAGAGTAGATATTTGTTTTTACTTCTCACCTTTCCTTTCTTTCCCTCTTCAT